TTTATTTCTTTCATAGTTTACAACTTAAACTCCCTGTTAGCAAATAAGCTTTGTTATCCTAATGACGTAGTGTTTAGACTTAACAATGGCATCTGTCCTCTCCACACAAAAATCAATCACTGCCCAATCTCTCATCTTTATTTTACCATATTTTTGGTTAGGCTGAAATCTTTCAGAATGTTCTTTAAGTCTTTTTCTATCCCTAAGTAGTTCAAAAACCCATTGGAATTTGCTATTTAGGTAGAAGTTAACTGTCCCTGTAACGAATAAGCCAGATTAGAAACTAAAAATGTAAATAAATAACTCAGGTATTTTATTTTACCTTTTACACTAAAATAAATTCCAATGTCACAGCTTAATTTTGCTGATCATGCACTATGGCAGAATTCATTTAGATAGATCCTCTCTATATAAGTCCCATCCACACTCATAGAATAGGTAGATCTTAGTAAACTTCCATCAATTTTTTTTAATACCTTGAAATTGTGTTATCCCTTATTGATCCATTTGAGGTGATGAAATTGGGATAGACAAAAGTCTTGATGTATTTTCTACAATAGAATTGTTCTGCAACTGAACAACTAAAAGATAGATGTAATCCATTTTCATTGAAAATTCCAATCTTCAAAAGAGAAGCCAAAGTAGCATTGTCAATAGCTTTCAAATTTACGTGACCATTTTGAATAACATCCTTAAGTATGCCTTGCAATTTTTCCGGTTTTATAAGCTTTTCCAAGTTTGATATATCTGCAAATGCTCGAAAATTTTCTAATATTATTAAAAGTTATCCGTCTGAAATGAACTATAATGCTTCTGATTCAATGTTACCTGTCCAATCTTTAGAAGCCTTTGTAAGTTCTTCTAATGCTAAACGATATAAACTGATATGACTTTGCATTGCTTTCCATATTGCATCTGTAAAAATTTGTGACAATACTAACTCTTCATATTTGCCTTTTGAATTTTTCCTAAATTCAGAAACTAACTCTGTATATTCATCAAAGTTCAGAACAATATCATTGAAGTAATATTTGGTAAGAAAACAACTTGGAGAAGACATGTTTCCCAACTGACT